TGTCCTTATAGTAGCACATTTGGGCAGATTTTGACGTTAATTCAAAAAGCAGTTCTGCTCCATGTTTGTGTTCACTTGTAAACCTTGTATGTTTAAGAACTTTAGAATATTCATCTGTTTGTCAAGACATCTGACACCATGCTACCTCATTTATTTTTGTGTGTGTGGTGCCAGGGATTGAACCCAGGGTCTTGTGCCTGCTAGTCAACACTCTACCACTGAGCGACACCCCCAAACCCATGTTAACTCATTCTATATGAATTGATAATTTTTAAGATGCACTAATTAAAATTTAGAGTAAGATGACACTGTCATTTCTTCCTTCCCCACCTTAGCACCAGTCTTTTCCCAAAAGAGTAATACTAGATAAAATATTAAAAGTTGTCAACCGTAAGACAAAGTCAGTTTTCCACAAACCACAAAAAGAACAGTGGCAGTAAATAAAAAAAATTATCCCAGTTTCAAAAAATATTAAAAATGCAAACACAATATGCTGAGTAGGATGAAGCCCAAGGTCTCTTGGATTTGTCTTCAAAAGCAAGAAAATAGTTCATGTGTCAAGATCATGAAGACTAATTATCCGAGGAGCAGATTAGTTGAGAAAAACACATGTAAAACTTAGTTTCTTAATTCAAATAATTAATTTGGTTTTCATTTACTCATACTATTTGTATTTTTGAGGTTCAACATGATGTTTTGACTGTTTTGTAGATTGAGTACAGATAATTCAGAGCAATTAGCATACCTGTCTCCTAAAATACTATCATTTTTCTTTGGTGGGCACGTTCATGTTTCTCTCTTCTCACAGTCTGGAGATATGCAATACATTTTTGTGAATTGTGTTCACTCTTCTATGTAGTAGAGCGTAACTCCTTTCTAATGTCAAACCTTAGCACTGTACCTACAGATTGACCTCCCTTTCTCCCCCCGCCCCGCAACTGGGCTTCCTGTATCTGATGATCACTATTCTGCTCTCTGTGTCTATATCCACTTGGTTAGATTCCTGTAGTCGGTGAGACTGTTCTGTGTTTGTCATTCTATGCTTAATCAGATCTTAATCTTGCTTAGCATAAAATATTCCAGGTCCATCTACATTTCTGCAAATGACAGGATTTCATGGTTTTCATGACTGAATAGTATCCCATGTTGTGTATACACATGTACATGCTGACAGCTGTGAGATCTGATGGCATTTTAACATGTGATCGTCCTTATGAACAACTCATTAGGGAACTCAGGTTTGGTGGGCAGGCTGTGCTTGTTATGTAGGTTATCAAGATACATTCATGGTTGAGGAAATGGGCATGATTTTTTTCAAATTTTTAATCTCTGTAAATCGGTTGAAGAAAATTCAACTCTTACCAGGCACTGGTTTGCATACCTGTGATGCCAACTACTCGAGACTGAGGCAGGAAAATTGCAGGTCAGCCTGGGCATCTTGGCATGACCGTGTCTCAAAGAGAAATAAAAAGACTGGGAGGATGGGGAGTAGCTCAGTGAGAGAGTACCCTTGGGTTCAATCCCCAGTGTTGAGAAAAGAAGCTACACACTTGTAACCAATAATTACATCCTAATAAAGAATTATCTTTAATTTTAACCAGGAAACGTGAAAGTGAATACTGTTAGCCTTTTTCACAATTACAGGAAACAGAGACCCAAATTTCATTGACAGCAATTTTGATTTTTTGTTGTTGTCACCACTCATCATGTAAAATGGAGTGAACTGAAAATAAATAAATGGGTCCTAGACTTAAAAGTTGATGGAATCTAGAAGAGCAGAGGTGACCTGAGTGCTGAGACACAGAACTCAGTCAAGATCGTTAAACTGTCCCTAACAGAGTCAGAAAGAAGCAAATTGCTGTAACGTATACTGGGGCCAAATGCAGAGGGGTGATGACAATGAATTAGATGGCCATGGAGTTAGTTTTTTTTTGTACAATACTGATAATGAAAAAAAACCAGTCACATTAATCCAATTTCTCTCTCTATAAAAATAGACGATTACACGATCTGGGGTAAAATTCTCTGCAAAGATCCCCTTTGGACATAAGTACCATTCATTCTATGGTTATGAAAGGTCAGGATCACAAGTGGACCAAGGGCAGGACACTCTGTTTTCTGTCTCTGGCCCCATGTCCAGGCACAACATCTGCATCTTCTGAATCCACCCGGGGACTCTGAGGAGCACATGTCCTTGGAAGAGGCCACCCCATGCAGGACTCAGTGAAGCCCTAATAAAGCTCTTATAATAACAAAATAGTTCTATTTCAGAACTTCTTTACTAATGGAGTCCTGATACCACAAAACCATCTCAAACCCCTGACACAGTCTAATTCTATGCATTTTATAAATAATGAAACTGAGTAGGGTAGAAGCTAACATGACCTCATAAGGATACAGCTTTCCTGGGAGTGTTTCAGTAATTACTTCCCAAGTATGAAAGTCGAGTTCTTTGACCTCATATAGCATCCATCTACCTGTGGCTGTAATCCTTGTGGCCATAACTGAATCTGGTCACTAGATATTGCCACAGCCTTTCTTCAAACTGTCCCTTCCCTATTCACCTCATACAGCAGTCCTGAGTCTGAGATTGATCTATACAGTACCACTACACTACAACCCCAACTCAGCCCTGCCTGATGGAGTTAGAGCAACATATGGAGCTCAGAGACTGAAATCATGTCCAGGGGACAAAAAGCACATGCAGATCTGAAATCCAAATTGATAATTGGACAACATGTATCTAGTCATATTTGGAAGAACTTGATAATGGATAAGTAAGGTACAGCAGGTCACCGCTATTTCTGTTCCTCCAATTGAATCTGGAAACTCAAACCCAAAGAAGATGACATGATCACAGAGAAGGCTTCCCCCTGATGAGATGTCTCAGGGCTCCCTTCATTTCCCTGTTCCTCAAGCTGTAGATGAAGGGGTTCAGCATTTGAGGGACCACCATGTACATCATTGAAGCCACCACGTTCTTAATGGAAGTGCCAGGCACTGCAGAACTCATGTACACTCCTAAACCTGTCCCATAGAATAAGGACACAACTAACAGGTGAGACCCACAGGTGGAAAAGGCTTTATACCTTCCATCCATGGATGGCATCTTCAAAACAGAGGACACAATTTGAGTATAAGAGAAAATAATCCCGGAGAGAGGGATGCCGGCAAATAGGCTAGTCACTGAATAAATCAAGAGGTTGTTGATGAGGGTGTCCGAACAGGAGAGTGTGATGACTTGAGACAGTTCACAGAAGAAGTGGGGGATCCCCAGGTCTGTGCAGAAGGACAGTCGCAGCACCATCAGAGTGTGCAGAAGGGCGTTCACAGTAGTGACCAGCAGGCAGAGTAGAACCAGCAGGACACAGAGGCAAGGGTTCATGATGACCATATACCTCAGAGGGTGACAAATGGCCACATAGCGGTCATAGGCCATCACTGCAAGCAGACAATTTTCTAAGCCACCAAAGATCAAAACAAAGTAGAGCTGGGAGAGGCAGCCTGAGTAACTGATGCTCTGAGTGTGTGCTTGGATGTTCACCAGCGACTTGGGGATGGTGGTTGTGCTGATACAGATGTCATTCAAGGAAAGATTACAGAGAAAGAAGTACATGGGGGTGTGGAGGTGGGGGTCAGAGCTGACAGCCAGGATGATGAGCAGGTTCCCCAGGATGGTGACCAGGTACATGGACAGGAACAGGCTGAAGAGGAGGGGCTGCAGGGCTGGGTCATCTGTCAGTCCCAGGAGAAGGAATTCTGAAACAGCTGTGTGGTTTCTGGGTTCCATGTTCCTGGTGAATCCAATGAGAAAAAAAAACGAGGAGAAAAAGACAGAATTGATGTGTTCTATACAAACAACAGCAGAATCAACCAGGATCATGGCAATACAAAATGCTTGATAGCATTTTGGACGTTATTTTGTGATATTCTGGGAATGAGGACCCACCACATATCTTTGTACAAACATTTCCAGTAAACTCACCATCTCTAAAGTTTAATAACTAGTATTCTGAATTTCTTCTCACATAGAGTGTGAAGCACAGGAATATTCAGATCTTTATTTACATTCTCCCACCATTCCTCTTGTTCATACCTCCCCTAATCTCCAATGTCTTTATTAAACTTGTTTTTTCAAATATTGCGCCCAGTGGTTAGACTGTCACAAAGAATCAGATAATTCCTTCAGAATTATCCCAAGCCTTCAAAGGAAAAGAAAGGGCAGAATGAACTTATGCAGGCTGTTTCTCTGAGCAATGGTATCCACCTTTGCCATGACCTAGAATCAGATGAAGGGCTCATCGCATTACAGATATATAGGTTCATGTTTCATCCCACAGACCCATGAGGAAAGGTCACAGACACAAGGTGCACCGTCAGTGTTTGCCACAAACAGGGTCACAGCTAAGATCCTCTGATTCTCAGGCGACTCTCTTGATTAATCTCTGCTCAGTGCAGAACTAGCATTGCCAAATGTTCATGAGTGTATCATAGTAAAATCTTATAACCTCTTGTTAATCTTAAGAGTTCCTTCCTGAACATAGCCCCCCCGATTCTCTTCATTTTCAGTTCTGCCCAACTCTGCCCATTAAGTTCCCTGTAGCAGGTAGAGAGCATCCACCCAACTGGATGAGTTCAAATACCAGAAAATGTCACGTTCCAACGTGAAGCACCTAAGACTGCCTTGGAAATGCAGGCAAACTGCTTTAGCAATTAAGTCTAAGAGACGCTGGGTAACCAAGCGGAAGAGATTCTCTGCTTTGTCCTAAGCAAACTTCTTCCAATAATCAGATGGATAGATAACGAACAAGTAGCTAAATGAGAGAAAGTGTGAAAAGCAAAAGTTACTATGAAAAGAGAAATGAACAAAATTTTCCGTGTTCATCAAACAGGGGTTGACAAAGTTACAGGCTTAGTTCATCAGGGTTCATAACAGGAATGTCCCTGGGAGAAATGTCGTCCTCTCCTGAGGGAGAAAAAGCAGCTATGACAGGAAAGATGGTTGGTAATACATTAGACTCACACACTGAATGGAATGCAGAACCCAGCCTGAGACCTATGGGAAGGAACGTGCTTCAGCTGGATGAGCAGCTCTGCTGTCCTCCCCCAACTGCTTCCACAGGATGGAATTCTCCCCAGGCATCCATCCCACTCCAATGCACACACTGAGTGGCCCTCAGACCCCCTCTGACTCCACTCCACCAACAGTGGAGCTCAGCAGCTCACCTGAAGGTCCAAAGCAGGAGCTCTCCTCCCCCCTAAGTGGACACAAGGACTGAGTCCTGGTCCGGAAGGCTCATCTCTGGAGGAGGCCCAGGTGCTGCTTCCTGGCTGGGGTAGGGCGTCTGAGTGAGGTGGTCACAGGCTGCCTCCTGCAGCCTCTGCATCCCTGGGGCTCAGTATGCCAAGCTCCTCATTAGAGCAGCTATTTCACCATCATCCTTATCCCAGGAGTGAGTGTCCTTAAAGACCAAGACGATGGAGGTGAGGAGAGCAGGATGGCTCCTGTCCTGTCCCCTGAGGCCAGGAGTCCAGCACTCCCTTCTCCCCTTTGTGGCACGCAGAACACACACGCAGTAAATTTCTAATCAACTCCAGTGTTCACCTCAAGTGACAAAGGCGTCTCTATGGGGTGAATGATGTCAGGGAGACTGGTCCCTATTTTAGGTGTGAAAATACGTCCTTTATATGTAAGCACAAAAATAAAAAGATAAGCCAGGCATGGTGGTCCACAACTGTAATCACAGCAACTCAGGAGGATGGCATGTTCATACCAGCCCGGGGAACTTAGCAAGACCCTGTCATAAAGTGAATAAAAAATCAAAAGGGCTGGGCACGTAGTTCAGTGGCAGAGTGTTCTCAGGGTTCCATCCCTGGATATGCAAAACAAAATTATGAAAATATTAGCAAAGATTCAAGGTGCTTCTTCTTTCTTCCTTTCTTTCTACTTATTTTTGTGGTATTAGGTTTTGAAACCAGATCCTGTATGCAAACTCCACCACTGAACCTCATCTCCAGTCTTATTTTCAATTAAGAGGCAGTCTCACTGCGTTTCCCAGGCTGGCCTCAAACTTGTGATTCCTCTCCCTTGTCCTCCCATGTGTCTGGAATTACAGTGTGTGCCACTATACCTAACTACAGTGTCTTTTCTTAAAAGTCATGGAGTATTTGCTGAACTATATCAATTAATTCCTTGTATTTTACACTGAAGATTATAATCTATTTTCTTTGATGACCTTTGAAGGCCAAAAGTTATAAATGGGGCAGTTACTCCCTATTTAGAATTTTCTAAATATCTTTTCTCATTCTATCACAAGACTTTGCTTTTGTTTATGTTTTTCTTGGTGCATTATAATTATAGATGATAGTGGAAATTCATTAGGACATATTTGTACATGCATATAACACAATTGGATCAATTTAATTCCCCAGTACCTTCCTTTGTCTTCCTCCATCTACCCCTGATTCCCTTCCTGTACTCTACGAGTACACCTTCTATTATGTTTAATTGGTATGATACAATTATAGACTCAATTGTGATATATTCCTATATACATACAGCATCATTTGGCATATTCCATTCCAATTATCTTCCTTTCCCTTCCTTCCTCCCTTGACTGGTGACAATTTTCTCTACTTTATTGGTTTCCCTTGTATTTTAATAAGATCCTCTTTATCATTCCTTTTTTGTTCTCCTTAGTTTCCATATATGAGAGAAAACATTTGACCCTTGATTTTCTCAGCCTGACCTTTGTTAGTTAACATAATGTTCTTCAGTTTCATTCATTTGCCAACAAATTTCATTCTCCATTCTGGCTGAGTGAAACCCCATTGAGTCTACATGCCACTTTTTTTATCCATTCATTTGTTGACAGACAACTAGGCTGGCTGCACAACTTGTCTAATGTCAATTGCACTGTTAGAAACATTGGCATGCATATATTCCTATAGTATTGTGATTTGGGGTAAATATCAAGGAGTAGAATAGCTGGTTCATGTGGAGATTCCTAATCTTTTGAGGAATCCACGTTCTGATTTCCATAGTGGTTGTGCTAATTTGGACAACCACCAACAATGTGTAAGTATTCCTTTTCCCAGTATCCCCACTAGTATTTATTATCATTATTTCTATTTTTGGCAATGTCTATTCTAAATGGGGTGACATGAAATTTCAGTGTAGTTTTGATTTGCATTTACCTGATTGCTAAAA